CCTGAGGCTAGAAAGCCAGGAAAGCTCTTCTCATAAAATCCACAGACAGAATTTTCATTTCAAATTTAGTCTTCCAGGAATTTATAAAGGCATATCTAAAAAAGTAAGAAGACAGATATGTATTTAAAGCTAGTGGTTTAACCTATAACTTAAATATTTAGACCTAAAGTATATTTAGACCTCCATTTGTATTCTTTCCCTGGGCCCTGCAAAAGTTAAAGAAGACCTGCACCTACTCATTGACAGTGTCAACTCTAGGCTTTCATGTACTGTGTTTTTCAGACTATAAGACGCACCCCTCCCTCAAATTTGGGAGGAATAATGGTTGTTAATGCTGCTGTTGAGTTCTGTTTACATTTACATTGGTGAAATATTATGTTATTTATGTTATTATATATTTTACCACATTTTTTGCTTCAAAATTTTTTTTCTTATTTTCCTCTAAATCCTAGGTGCATATTATGGTCCAAAAATACAGTAGTTTCTCCTGCCTCAGCATATTCTTGACCACCTCACTTCACCTGCCTCACCACACCACAACCATTCACTCCCATGTTCACACTTTGGCCGTTGTCATTGTGAATAACTGCATCACCTCCAAAATTTATATTTCAAACATGTAGATTCAGACAACCCATCAACTCCTACATTTCCAGCTATTTGTTCAAGTAATCCTCACTCTGACAAATTTTTGTGCCCATTGAGACCTTCCATCCATGGACCCTACCACTTCTTTTTCTCTGTTCATCACTCACCCCCTATACTTCCTTTCCTCATTATCCAGCTTAGAACCCATTGTCTATGTGGCAGAAATTCCTGCTAGCCATCCACTAAAATCTGTTCTCCCTTAGCTTGTAGACATATATCCAGACTACATTTCTCTGCTTCCTTTGCAGGTAGATTGGAGCCATATAACAGCTCCAACCAATGGAATGTGAGTGAATGAGATATGTGCACCCCAACAGGAATGGCAGTGAAGATAACCTCAGGGACCTTGGGAGTAACAGATTACTGATGACGGAGTCCTCTTCAGCCTTGGGCCCAAACATCTACCCATATACAACACTTTCATTGGAATGTTAAGAAACAAAAAATATATGTTTTCTGAGCTATTATATTTTGTCATATCAGTTACATTAGTATACCCTACGACTAAAATCACAAACCTATGTGTGGAAGTATAAGCTACATCAAAATATAATGGTTAATGGTAGGATTATAGAGACACAACCACCTGGGTTCAAATCCTGACTTTGCCTCATGCTAGCTTTGCTACCTGAGCAAGCTACTGATCCTCTCTGTGCTGTGTCTCCCGATCTGTAAAAGAGAGATAATAGTACCTACTTCAAAAATCTCAACTTCCATAGCTTTGGCTTTCATCTCCAGGCTAATGAATTCTAAATTCTTATTTATAAAGATTCCCTACTTCTTCAATAAACTGGATTCTTTTATCTAAATACCCACACGTCTCTACTTTGAGGTCTAATAGTCAATTCAAACATAAGTTTATCTGAAAGAGCATTGGTTATTTCTAAATCCTCTCCCCAGAAAAACTAAACCTTACACCCTTCTCAGTTCATTTGTCTAAATAAATGTCCCCATTATCCTCCCAGTTGCTCAGCTCCACAAAAACTAAAAGTCATTTCTGATTCCTCCATGTCTTTCATACCTCACATTTAATCTATGGGCAAGTCTTATTTAAAACATAGTCCTCTTTAGCCTGGAACCAAACAAGATATGATAGCTCTCCATCACCCCGCCCCACCCTTTACTGGAGCTTTATCACCTCTCACCAGAACCACCTAAGCAGTTTTCTGGATTCAACAATTGTCCCCTCCTAGCATGGTCTCCACTAAGCAGTCAAAGTTCTCGTTTTAAAACCAAAAGCAGATCATGTGATTACCTTATTCAAGATCTTCCAGTAGATTCCCATCACACTAATCTCATAAAATCTGAACATTTTACTGTGACTCACGGAGTGCTACTTAACCCTGGTTAACTCACTTTCCTTCTGATTTCTTGAATTCCAGTCATATGGGTATTTGGTGATTTTTCAAACAGGCCCAGCTCATTCCTGATCCAAGGCCTTTCAAATGCTGCTGCCTTTGGAATGCCTTAATAGACCTTCATGTATTTGCTTCCTCACTTCATTCAAGTCTCTGTTCAAGTGTTACCTTCTCAGAAAGGCTGTCCCTTAAGTAGTATGCTTTCAGTATTCTGAATCCCCTTGTCTTATTTAGTTTTCAGCAATTGTCATTTTCTACTTTAATATTATGTGTATATTTGTTGTCTTGCTTATTTCCTATCTCCCCACTGACAGATGTAAGCTATATGAGGGCAGGAAGTTGATTCATCCAGCTTACTGCTTGAAGAATGTTTTCAGTTTTATGCGGCAGACAAAACGATGAAAAGTAGCTTAGACAATCAAGGACATCTGAGTTTTCACATCAGTGTGCATTTAGCAATTCAGCAATGTCAGACATCTTTGTTTTTCTCACACTAAAGTCTGGCTGCTGCAGCTCCAATCTTCACATCCTGACCCAACCATGTCAGAGCAGAAAGAAAAGGCTTTATCTCCTCATGTCTCTGGAATTTTTTTCCGAAGCCTCGCCAACTTCCCATATTTCTGGAGCACCTAATTCCCTAGTATATGCACAAACTGGGGCCCTGAAATCAAGGAAGGAGGGGTATTGTCTGTTGGGTGAAAAACCAAGAATGTCTGCCACAGTGCTGTACCTCAGCAACTAGAAGAGGACCTGGCTCAGAACAATTGCTCAGTCAATATGTGCTGACTGGAGGATGGAATATGTGTGACTTTGTAGACTAAACATGATACAGACACAGGACCTGACAACATACACAATGACACTGTAGAAACGTGCTTACTTTGGCCTAGTCTCATTGTCTCTTATAGCAGCCCTGTGAGATGAATACCTCTTTTATTATTTATTAAAGAAGATTAGAGCTCAGAGAGGTTCACTGAACTGGGCAAGTTCACTCATCCAAGGAACAGATTAGGTGATCAATCCATGGAGCAGTTTCAAGTGCCAGACATTGCTTTAAGAGCAAGGGAGTAATTGATGATGACAGCAGGACCAGGCCGGGAACACTTGCTTTAATGAAAGCCTACAGTGTGTCGAGGCTTTTAAAAATAGTATATGATATCTTGTACACACCTATTAAGATGTAGAAAGTAATATCCCCATTTTACAAATTAGGAAACTGAGACTCAGAAGAGCCAAATAATTTGCCCAAAGACACATAGCTACAACAGATGGTAGAGTTAAGATCTGAACCCAAAACAGACTTTAAAATCTATGATCTACTCAGGAAGACAAAAAGTAAAGGTCTTAGGTGCCAAAGTGATTTTCAATAATAATAAAAATAACCATGAACCCAAAACAGAATTCAAAACCTGTGTTCCTTCCACCTGAAGAACCAACACAAGGGAAAGCCTCGGAGAAGTAGTTCTTTCTTCGAGGTGGGAGAGAGGGCAAAAGGATGAGTGAGAGGACATAGAAAATTTGAGGCCAATAGGTAGAATTTCAAAAATCTCATGCAGATGACATCAATCTTTTCAGGAAAGTGGCATCCAGTCATCTGTATGATGAATTTCAGACTTTAAAATGGAAGCAATTTGGAGTGAACAGCAGGAAAAGTGAGATGGTGATCAATTTGAGAACAATAATGAAGATAGTGAGCTGCAGGTGGGCCCAAGGGGCTAAGGCTTTGCAGAAGGTCAGTGAATCAGGAAGGCCAGTGGGAGGCCCAGTGAAGGAGAGGGTAACTGGGACAAGGCAGGAACAAATGCCAAACAAAGACTGGCTCAATGCCTGATACTGCATTTCCCATTGGTGAGGAGGGCAGAGATTTTTAAAGACCAGATACCAGGTTTCATAACTGGAACAATGACATCTGTTTATGGAGAAGAATGAACAGAAAGGTTTTGTATACAAAGGAAGGAGGATCCTGCTATAATCAAGAAAAGGAATGTTTCAGGGCCAGCTAGTGTGCTAAGCAGGGCAGGGCCAGGCTGAACTGGATCTGTTGATGTGACCAAAGAGGATCCTGGGGGACTCTGGGGAACAGAGCCATCTGAGACTGGCAGACCAGCCAGAAATGTTGGGGCAGGGACTGAGACTTGCTGTTTTCCTTACCGGCCTCAGGGCTACAGTTTTAAGTTCTGTAAAGCTCACTTGTCAGGTGTGTGGTCCAACCCTGGAAGTCATGAGGAGGAGACAGAAAAGGTCCTCACAATGATCAGGATCACCCAGCTCAGGGTCAAATGATGTAGATGCAAACACTTATCCCCTGCCCATGCCAACTCCAGTGGCTCTCCTTTCCAGGCCATGGAGCTCAATGGTATGCTCTGGCCCAGATGGAAAAGAAGACCAGTCTAGAGTTCCAAGACAAAGCAGCCATGAGTTGGGGCCAGAATCTACTGAAGCCAGCTGTGCGGACAGAAGAGGAGCAAATTAGGTCCCTAGGGATACAGAACAGATAGAGATGGACAGAGGGAAAGGCCACCAAGGTGAAGCTTGAAGACCTGAGCTGCTGTGTCCTTTCTAATCATGGCAACATACTTTATTTGCTGATGAGGTGCTATAAAGAGACAGATGAACTCTTGAGTATACAACTGAAAAGGGAAATGCAAAATTCAAGAAAGTGGCCCATTCTTTGACAGTTTCTCTCCCCTGAGGAGAGATTTGCTGGGGCAGACCCTTTGTGATTGCTCCTTTCACGTCACTGGGAGCAGTAGACCCCTACATTTGCTCAGTAATTAAGGGACTAACCCAGTATCTTCCTATCATTTTTTCACCCAAGTATTTTCCTTGATTAGTGAGATGGCTTTAATCCATAAATGGCCCATGATGACTTTGAGACATACTCGTGCCAAGCTGAAAGTGCTACTCTTGGTCATTATATGAGAAGGTGGTGCTTTACCATATCACCTTGCTGCACACAGCTACATATCCCACCCCAGACACTCCCCACCAGACCTTTAATAGCATGTGCATCTGGGGAAGAGAAACTCTGCTCCTGGTCTTTCCTCTGCTCCTCTGTGGCCACCATTTTTCCTGAGTTTTCTTTTCACAGACTTAGGCTAGTCTCGAACATAACAACAATGAAGTTTATCTCCATCATTCAGTCACTCATTTACTCACCTATCTCACCACTAAATGGCTGCAGGAACTTAGATGAGTTACTTTATCTCTCTGTGAAAACAGAATGATGTGAGAATTAAATCAGCAAGGGCATGGATGTAAATTAATCATTGGCATTTACTAAAACATTTACTGAAATCAACTCTGGCAGGATACTTCACAGTGTGTAGTGCTGGAGAGGTTTGAAGCACTGCCCCTCTCTATTTAACTCTATAGTTTATTGCCTGTAAAAAGTATTTTTAATTAAAGCATTTCTTCTAGAAATCTAGGAATTCTTTCTATTCTCTTGAGTCATGAACTCTATGCCAATATGACTTCTTTTTCCCTTGGCTAAAACCACACCTAAAACAAAAGCAAACTAAAGGGACGGCTAGATCAGGAGTGGAAACATAGAAATGAAGATCTCAAGGAGGGTTAGCAACAGGGGAGTGGGAGGAGGAGAAGGGGGGAGAAGGTACAGAAAATAAGTAGCATAGACGGTAGGTAGAAAATAGATAGGGGGGCAAGAATAGTACAGGAAATATAGAATCTAAAGAACTTGAGACATATGGACATAAACTAAAGGGGGGTAATGGTGGGGTTGGGGGTAGGGTGGAGGGGAATGAAGGGGGGGAATAGAACAACTGTAACAGCATAATCAATAAAAAAAAAATTTAAAAAAAAAGTGTGTATCCAAACGTGGGGAGGAACATATAATGAAAGGTGTGGTGCTCATTGTCTGGGGTGTTTTTTCCCTTTAAGTTGTTGAAAAGAAAGACTTTCTAAGAACAATGACTGGGCAGTCCCATTTTTAACAATGCAGATCCAGCATGCTGCATCTGACCAAAGATGATGACACCTGCTGGCCATCTCTGGAACTACACCCAACCCTCCCAGTCATGAAATTGCCAGTTTTTTTGTCAGGATGACCTTGAGGACTACTCAGTGAGCAACCCAAATTAAGGTGATTATTTCTTAGAAATTAAAGAGAAAAATAACACATTTTTTAGAAGACAGCATGGATTAGTGATTAGAGCCATACCTGAGTTTGAACTCCAGACTCTGCCATTGAGAAGCTGGATATTCTTGGGCAAGTTACTTAGCCCCTCTGAACAGATTTCCTCATGTGAACAGGAATCCTGATATTATGTCTCAAACAGACAAATGAAAATGATGTTAAATTCTGGATGTGCTAGCTTGGTATGTGGCCAGTCACTGGCACATCACATACACAGGGGATAGTGTCGTAAAATACAATTTCCCCTCTGAAATGAATGGTTCCTTGTACACAGTGTCAAAATGGAATTCTTGTTCAAATAGCAGGAAAAAGTATAAGGTACCAAAATATATATATATCTTTTTTCTTTAAAATATTACTTATGAAATGTAATAGGAGTAGTAATAATTCATGAGTAATAGCAAAAATGGATTTTGGTGCTATTTTATATTATTTATATTTGGCATAATAATTTTATATAATAAAATATATCTTATTGATGTGATATCTTGATTGATCATAATGTTTTTTGTAGCTCACTTTGCAAATTCATTTGTTAGGTCATCAAAATTTATAGTTAACTTCTAAAAAATCAATTTTTAATTGAAAGTGACATCAGTTGCTCTTGGCAAGATCACAAATAATTTTTGATAATTATATATTTGGAAAAGGATCTTTCTGCTGATATAACTGTTACTAGAGCTAAGACTATTTTAAAGGTTGTGATAACATAAGGATGAATTTCTCACAAATTACTTCAGAATATAAATTGTAGTACATCTGCAAGTGACAATTCTTAAGGAATGATTTTTTAAACTTTATTTTTATTACTTACACTATTACAGATATTCCCATTTTCTTTCTCTTTACCCACCTCCCTGCTCCCCCTTCCCTCAGGCCAACACCACACTGATGTCTGTGTCTATGGACTATGCATATGTGTTCTTTGGCTAATCCCTTCACCTTATTTTATCCAGTCCCTCCTCCCTCTTTGCCTCTGAGAGCTGTCAGTCTGTCCCATATGTCCATGTCTCATTTCTATTTTGTTCATCAGTTTATGTTGTTCATTAGATTCCACACGTAAGTATGACCATACAGTATTGTCTTTCTCTGACTGGCTTATTTCATTTAGCAAAATAATCTCCAGGTCTATTCCTGCTGTTGCAAAAGGTAAGTGTTCCTTCTATTTTATGGCCATGTAGTGTTCCACTTTATAAATGTACAACGGCTTTTTTTACCCACTTGGGCTGTATCCAGATATTGGCTATTGTAAATAGCCCTGCTGTGAACATAGGGGCACATAAATTCTTTCAAACTGGTGTTTCAGGATTCTTGGGATCCTCTCAGAAGTAAAATCACTGGGTCAAAAGACAGTTTCATTTTTAATTTTTTGAGGAAACTCTGTGCTATTTTCCACAGTGACTGCACCAGTCTACATTCCCACCAACAGTGCATGGTTCCCTTTTCTCCACGCCCTCACCAACACTTGGTGTTTGTTGATGGTAGCCATTCTGGCAGGCATGAGGTCACATCTCATTGTGGTTTTAATTTGCATGTCTCTGATGGTTAGTGACATTGAACATTTTTTTCATATGTCTGTTGGCCGTATGTATGCCCTCTTTGGAGAAGTGTCTATTCGGGTTCTTAGGCCATTTTTTAAAATTGAATTATATGTCTTCCTGGTGTTGAGTTGTGTAAGTTCTCTATATTTTGGTGATTAACCCCTTATCAGATGTATCACTGGTGAATAATGTTCTCCCACAAAGTGGGTTCCCTTTTCATTTTGTTGATGCTTTATTTTGCTGTGCAGAGGCTTTTTAATCTGATGTAATTTCATTTATATATTTTTTTCCTTTGTTTCCCTTGCCTCAGGAGATATATCAGAAAAAGATATTACTATGCAAGATGTCTGAGGCTTTACTGCCTATGTTTTCTTCCAGATTTTTATAGTTTCGTGACTTAATATTTAAGTCTCTTATCCATTTTGAGTTTATTCTTATGTATGGTATAAGTTGGTGGTCTAGTTTCACTTTTTGCATGTACCTGTCCAATTTTCTCAACATCATTGTACTGTTTTTACTGTATTGTACACTCTTCCCTCCTTTGTCAAATATAAATTGACCTATAGGTTTATTTCTGGGCTCTCTGTTCTATTCCATTGATCTATATGCCAGTACCAAGATGTTTCTATTACATTGGTCTTGTAATGTTTGATATTGTGATCTCCTCAACTTTGTTCTTCTTTCACAAGGGCTAAGGCTGTTTGGGGTCATTTTCGGTTCTATATAAATTTTTGGAATATTTGTTCTAGATCTGTGAAATATGCCATTGGTATTTTAGTAGGAATTACATTGAACCTATAGATTTCTTTGGGTACTATGGACGTTTTAATGATATTACTTCTTCCAGTCCATAAACACAGTATATGCTTTCATTTATTTGTATTTCCTTCAGTTTCATTCTTCAGCGTTCTATAGTTTTCCCAGTACAGGTCTTTTACCTTCTTGATTAAATTTGTTCCTAGGTACCTTAGGTTTTTTTTTTTTATGCAATAGTAAATGGGATTGTTTTTCTTAGTTCCTCTTTCTGATATTTAATTATTGGTGTATAAAAGAAACATTTTTTTGGCCCTGGCTGGTGTAGCTCAGTGGATTGAGCACGAGCCTGTGAACCACACAATCACGGTTTGATTCCCAGTCAGGGCACATGCCTGGGTTGCAGGCTAGTTCCCAGCAGGGGACTCACGAGAGGCAACCATATATTGATATTTCTCTCCTTCTCTTCTTCTCTAAAAATAAAATAATAAAATCTTTAAAAAATTAAAAAAATAAAAATAAAAGAAACATTTTGTGTAAAAATATTTAACTCTTTATATAATTCAGTTTTATGTAAGTCTCATAATTTTAAATGTGAACTTATGCAATAGCATTTTTAATATTTGCTCTGACATTTCCTGTAACTTGTACAACTTGAAGAAGAAACTGAAAATGACTTCATGATTTGTGTATAATTCAAGACACCTACTTAAGCATCATAAGAAAAAATTATTTTTGAAATTGTGTTCCTTGTTAATAATTGTTTCACTTAACGCTTCATATGAAAATAGGATCCTTTTGTTGAGTTTGACTACCTTGCATCTTAAATTCTATTTCCAAGTCTGTGAATATTCGTTTTGTCATGTTGCCTCAGTTTTCAAAACCAGATATTTTACATGCCTTGAAGAACTTCGATAATGTCTTGATATGCTTTATTCCAATGTCTATTTGCATCTTCATTTTGTAATAAGAGTACACATTTATAGCAAAGAAATTACTGCCGGAGTGTGGGCAGTTTTTGTCCTTGAGTTTTGGCGAGAAAGTCCACATTTGTGCAGATGCCACAGGGATGGGGTCTGGAGGCTGACGAGGAGGTGCCTCACACGGGCCCCAGAGCTGCCCTCATGCAGAAGCCATCTCTCTCCTGCATCACAATCACTCTTCCAACACTGCTGCTTGTACGACTATCACTACTGTTCAAGTTAGTCTTTCAAACCTGGGTACTTTCCACAGCAGCAAGCAGTATTAATAATTATACTGGGGAACTGGTGTAAAATGGACCCATCCTATATAAAAGCTGGGAGATCTGGTTAAACTACCTGTCATGCACAAAAGGTTAACAGTTCCTTGACTACTCATTTCGAGTGACTGTTACTTCTGCTTCAAACAAACTATTCACAGTAGTAAACATAGCTAGGAGCTGCTTCATGTTAGAAATTTAAACTATTAGATCTCATCCAGTTCCTCTCTGTCTATATCCCTCTTGCATGCCTTCATGTACATTGACAAACATTCTTGGTCCTAAAGAACAGAAAGTCCTTGTTCCCTATGTGAATTGGGTCCCAATCTACTTTCCTCTTCTGTCCTTCCTGCCTAGCCTGGACCCTGAAGTTCTTACCCTAATCCTCTCAGGAACACTTTAATCTTCCTTGCCCTCCATCTCTGCTTTCAACATGCCCAGGGACACCCTAGGTTCCAGATACACACTTCCAAGTGTCTCTTTCTCTACTTGGGTTAACAGGGATTCTAGAGAAATGTTCACAATTATGCAATTTTGAGTCTATGGCTTTTGATTCTACTGAGGACTACTCAAAAATCCTGAACTCACCATTTACTCAGAACTCTTAAATATCTTCCCTTGGGTATATAGGCTGTATAACTATTTGGAGTGGAGAGAAATCTAGTGCCTTGGCTAATCCCTTCAGGGGGATTTTGTTTCTGTGTAGTTGGGTTTTTTGCTTATTTTTTATGATTAAGATTGCTGCCCTTGAGCTAAGCTCTTCATATTGGGGTTTCTCTTTGGCTTGCCTCTCTAACCCCTGACCAGTCTCTCCTCCAGGGCTGCAGACCTTTGAAACAATGGATAAATTCCATGCCCTATGTCCTGATGCCCAAACCTGCTGTGAGTACAGAGTGAACCAAGTATGTGCATCCGATGTCAGTTTGCATGGTCCCATATCTAAGTATGTGGTATGTGCCCTCACAAGAAGATCCCAATGAGGCAGACCCTATGTCTCTGTCACACTCTTGTTTGGTAGACCTTGCTTGATTGTTTGGTGAAGGAGAGAACCTCATGCCATGCTATGCCTTTGAGAAGACAATATTTGTGACATCCTATTGTTCCATCTGATTCCAAGGGAAGTTCTGCTCTCTGATCTGCATAAGCTGACACTTATCAAGTACACTCTAGCTTTCCTAAGAAATAGAAAACTGCAAGGGGGGAGGCAACGAGTAGGCCTAGGTCTGGATTTGAGATGACTTAGAGGCCTCAGAAATGAATTCACCCCTATATAGCCTGGATTGCTTATTCCTCAAGTGTCAGTTGGAGTGTGGACTATCTCAGGTTCAGGGAAGGAAAGCTTACTGTCTTCCCAGTGTAGTTGTCTTTTATTTAAGAGGGCCACAACTCAAACAACTTGAAGGGTTTTAGCACTTCCCTCTGTTCTCTTCTTAGCCGCATAACAAGGCTTGAGCTGGAAAGGCTAATGCAGATAAATCAACCCTCATCTGATAATTAATCCTGCTGGATTTTGGTAAGAAGGGCAATGAAACTTACCTTCAGAAGCAAAGCTGACTTTGTCTGGGAATCGGCTTCAGGAACAGGATAAAGGAGCTGTTGAAAAATCAGACACCAGAGTGTGTATTAACCTCTGCTTTCTAGAAGCAAGAACATCTCCAGATAATCAAAGGGATTCAGATCACCTCTGAAGTCAGGGACATAAGACAAATCCTACCTTGGCAAGGAAGTAGCAAGAGAATACCTCTCTTAGCAGCACTTTTGCTGTCTGAGGGGCTAAAAATCCTGCCACCTGCAGACAATGACTTTTCACTCTGTGGTGATGCCAAAATCTTCTTCTTTTACCCAATAACACCATAAAGAGCCTTTTAAAATTTAGCCGAGAACGGGTAAAGCTTTTGGCAGAGGGAATTCATTGGGGTTTCCCTGCCAAAAGGTTCATTTGTGGAATGCCGGCTAGCATAGCATGAGCTCTAGTTTTACATCTGAAGGTGGGTGGGGTGCTAAAGCTCTAGAGGTGGAGAGGGAGATGGAGGCAGAGAGAAAATAGATGTAGAAGTAGAGATGGAGATAAGGAAGAAGGTGGAGGTGGAGATAGAATTGGAGATGGAGGTGGAGATGGAGATAGAATTGGAGCTGGAGGTAGAGAAAGAGATAAAAATAAAAGTGGAGATAAAAATGGATTCTTCCTAAAACTTCCAAGGGACAAAGACCAGTATTGGGGTGCTGTCTTCTCTCCACCACAAGGCCTGGACAAATATTCTCCAGGCCAAAAATTGTAAATGGCAAAATTACACTGCGCTGGAAGAAATTCTAGGCTAAGAAATTGTTTTTTTAAAAATTTAACTATTGTTCAAGTACAGTTTTCAGTCTTTTACTCCCATCCCAGCCCACCCCACCCCCGTGCTCCCCACCTCCCTCCCATTTCTACCCGTTAGTTTTTGTCCATGTCTCCTTTATACTTATTCCTGTGAATCCCTCCCCTTTTTCCCCTGAAATTCCCTCCCCTCTCCCCTCTGGTCCCTGTACCCCTGTTCTCTATTTCAGTGTCTTTGTTTTTATTTTGCTTGTTTATTTGTTTTGTTGTTTAGCTTCCCATTAAAGGTGAGATCATATGGTATTTGTCTTTCAACACCTGGCTTATTTCACTCAGCATAATGCTTTCCAGTTCCATCCATGTTTAGGCTAAGAAACTGTAAATGGGCCATAGGGTCCATGCTGAGATGTCTGATGGAAAGCCTCCTTCTTAATGTATATTTATTTAAAACAAGTACCAGGATTTTATTTATCAGTTCCAGGACTTCAGTAACTTATTTTTTCTTAACATTAATTCCCAGAAGATAAATATTGAATATTTTCAATATTCGAGTCTGGATAGAAAGAAGACAATTTATCAAAGGTATACGTAAGCTGTGGGAGGTGAATGCAGAACATTCGAAAAAAGAGCCAATAATGTAAGTAGGAATTAAGAGAGAACTTGTACACAAAAGCTGGTGTGGGGCCAATTGTCCTGTTCTGTTTGCTGTGAGGTTTTTAAGGAACACAAAATATCCTGAATTCCTTAAGGCACTTACTCTCCATCTTGGCTACACATCAAAATCATGTGAGGGGTTATGAGAAACCTACAGGAGCGTGGGTTCCTCTCCAAACCTCTGAAGAAGGATCTCCAGAAGTGTGAATAGTTTTAAAAGTTCCCAAGGTAATTTGAATGAGCAGGCCAACTTGAGGGCTATGCTCTAGAACAGTGGTCTCAGACTTGAGTGGTCTCTAGAAAAACAGGAAGACTTCGTTTGATTGCACTTACTTTGTTGAGATTCACAGATGTTTCAGTTTTTACAAATTGAAGTTAAGAACCTCCACCAGCAAAAAGATTACAACTTGCTTTATTTCAGTGATCAGGAACTGAATCCACAATATTTCTGAGGTATGCCTGTACTTGGCGACCTCCTTAAAACAGAGGGCTGGGCCCCATCTCCCAAGGCTTCTAATTTAGTTTGTCTGGAGTAAGTCTGAAAATTTGTATCTCCAACAAGTTCCTGGGTAATGCTGATGTTGCTGGTCTGGAGATCATAATTTGAGAACCAATATGTTAGAGGAATAAATGTTGACTGTTCTGTACATGAAACCATGCATGTGTACTCTATCTACAGACTTGACTAGCTGGTTTGTCTGTCTCTTGTGTGCACCTGGAATCCATACGCATATGGGGGTGAAGGAGAAAAGAAAACTCAAGCAAAGAGTGGGGTGCTACTTGTTCAAGTCAGAGAACCACTCACTTCTGTCTCCACTTGTTTTGCTCAAGTTGTGACTGAGCAACTCTGGTCATTTTTAGCCCCATCCTACTCCTGACAAAATAAGCTGCAGATCTTTGAAGTTAAAAAGATAGTTTGCAATATGAGCAATCATTTTTTCTCTGTTCGTGCAATCAGAAACTGAGCTGCTCCCTCTGGAGACAGCAGACTCTACCCTGCAAAAGCTCCAAAGAGCATCCCCAGAGTCAGAGGGTGACTGACTGAGGAGCTAAACTGGTTTCTCCTGTGGAGGGAGAATTAGACTTGATTCAAGGGCATGGTTGGGAAACCAGATGGGTTGGCGTGAAAGCAAGGCTAAAGGAGAAGGATGGTTGTGGAGTGGGAAACAAAGGATGTATCTTTGGAGATGTCTTGCTGCAGGCCTTAGTTAGTAAGTCCCCTCTCCTCCCCACCCCTGGAGTGAGGTCAGGAAACTAGGACATGAGATGAAGTTTCAACTTTTATTTTCTGCACCCTTGAGCTATAGGTATAGGATTCACCTGATACCTTTGCCAAAGGCTCAGCTCCATCAATGTGGGTGGGGGCTTTTCTGGGGAAAATGATAAGGGAAGAAGTGCTCTGGACAGGGTGCAATCTCTTCCTGACCATCCCTCAGGGCTCCAGCAGAAAGGGAAGAAGGGGATGCTGCAAGCCCCTTAAACCAGTTTCTGCTGGAGCCATCAGGGATGATCAAGAAGAGGTTGTGCCACTCTAATCCATTTGTGTCTAAGTACTCCAGGAATTCAAGCCTCCTCTTATATTTGATATTATTGATCACTCTTGTCTTCTTGTTTCCCTCTTGCCTTCTACCACCCCAGCAGCTCCTTTGCAGGCTTATCCTCTCTATGGCCATTCAGTGCTGAAGTTCCTCAAGATTTGCCCCTGGCCTTCTTTCTCGTTCACTAACCTCTCTCCCTCAGGCCTAAGCTATCTTACCCTTACCCAAGGCTTCAAGTCATGGCTACCTGTCGCTTCATCTCTATCCACCTGAGCTCAGCTCTGTATACCTAACTACTTGACATCTCTTTTGGGTAGATGAAAAGCCATCAAACTACCTGCTTTCATGATTTTTTTCACTCAAACCTTGTCTTTTTTCCTTTTCAGTGAACCAGAACCAATATCCATCCTTTACCCACAAGCAGGGAACCTATGGCTTTTTCTTGATGACTCCCTTTCCTTCACTGTCCACCTAATCCATCATCACCTTCTGTGCACTGAAGCTCCTAAATGGTCCTCAGAGCCTTCCTCTTACTGTTTTCATGACCATCACTCTAGACCAAGCCTCTACCTCTGCCACTTAGGATATTTAAAATGCCATTCTGACATGCCACCTCTTTTGCAGAAGCATGTAAAGGGCTTCCTGTTGCACTTAGGATAAAGACACACTGTTCAACATGGGTGATTGGCTGCACTAGATTTGATTCTTTTCCATTCTTTCCAAATTCATTTAATAGGTCCTTCTTCCTTGTTCTTCCAGCAGCACTGGCCTTACTTCAGTTTTTCCAACTCACTCAATTCCCTTTTCTTCCACAGGTCCCTTGCACACCAAGTTACCTCTGTTTGAAATATATTCTAACTAGTTAAATCTATTCTCAACTCAAGAGGCATTCCTTAATTATCAATTTCCTGGCTTTATTAATTATATCAATTGGTTTCATAATACTATATGAATACATATCAAGTTCCGGCAATATTATATTTATTGTTTAGCCCTGGCTGGTGTGCCTCAGTAGATTGATTGAATGCCAGCCTGCAAACCGGAAGGTCCTTGGTTCAATTCTCAGTCAGGGCACATACCTGGTTTGCAGGTCTGGTCCCCAGTAGGGGGCAGTTCAAGGGGCAACCACACAGTGATGTTTCTCTCCCTCTCTTTCTCCCTCCCTTGCCCTCTCTCTAAAAATATATTCATTGATCATTTTGCATTTTTTACTGCTATTATTTGCATACCAAAATGGTTAAGTCTGTAAGCTCCATTGTGTTGCTAGTGCTAGCACAATGCCTGGCACAGAATCAAGCTAGAGATAATATTGGATAAATAAATAAAGAAAATAAAGAATCCTGAGAGGGAGCAAGGGAATGGAGGAAAAATAAATAAATGAATGCTCACATCTATGTTCTACTTCAGAATCACTGGAAACTGGCCAGCCCAACATGACATGGGAAGATTCAAAGATGTCCAACTGGTGGCCCATGGGCCACATGCAACCCAGGATGGCTATGAATGTGGCCCAACATAAAATCATAAATTTACTTAAAACAGTATGAATTTTTTTTGTGTGTGTGATTACATGTTGCAATGTATTTAATGTGTGGCCCAAAACAACTCTTCTTCACTGTGGCCCAGAGACACCAAAAGGCTGGAATTCACCCTGGAATTCATTCATGTATACAACAAATATTTTGTTTTGTTATTTACTCATTATTAAAGTAACATACTTTTTCTGATTATGAAAATAATTGTTTCATTTGGAAACCATGACAAAAATATCCAACATACAAGAAAAAGAACCAATTCGCCTTTATTTCACAGTCCAATGATGAACTGTTAATATAATTTGTTTATTATATTTGTTTATTATGCATATTTCTTTTCGGTTTTTTTCTGTGTATATATAGCATGTATATAAAATCGTTTTATCTATATAAACTTGCTTCATTCTCTTAATATATTAGGAACATTTTCTTATGTTAAGAATTCCTTGAAGACATCTCATTTACATTGCTAAAATGCATTCTATTGCATAGATGTATGTAACTTAGACACCTTTTCACTTGTTGTTGGGTATTTAAGGACTAGCCAATTTGTAATTTCTATAACTAACATATATACGCTTTTTGAGGGCCCAGAGATAAATACATAATGCACACACTCTAGTAGGACGACGTGGACTTTGGGAAAACCGGAAGCAGCTTTATCAGGTGCCTGAAGAGAACTCATTTGCTTGTGGGTTGCTTGTCCCAGGGCAGGTGTTCTCAGAATGTAACTTGTCGATCAATATAATGAGCTTTTCTTTAAGTGTGTGCCTGCTCCTCGGGCTGGTTTGGTTTCATCGCACCTGCCCTCCAAAGATTGGGGAGTGAAGCACCTGAGGCTTAGGCTCGGACTAGCAGACAGCCCCCGGGCATTTACGGAGCTGTAGTCCTGGCCCTGCCAAGCGCTAGCAGCAGGGCCCCGCCCCCTCTCCCCGTCCCGCCCCTTCACTAGGAGCACACAGAGGCTCCATCTCTGCTTCTCCTCGGGGTGACCTCCGCAAGTCCACCGGGTCCCCTGAGTAGCCCCGCCCTCAGACTGCGGGCCCCGCCCCCACAATCCGGGCCCCGGAGCTCGTGAGGCGCAGAGGCGGTGCCCTGCGCGATGACGTACCGGGCGTGCGTGGTGACGGCCCGCGTCCCAGTTACTCAGCGAAGCCGCCAAGGCCGGACGACGCGGTCCAAAAGGCAGAGCAGTGAGTCGTGCTGGGTAACGGCCTTGGCGACAAACCGGACAGCACCGGCCCCCTCGGGCAGGCTTTCCTGTTGCCGTTCGTTGTGCTGTTGGGTAAGTGCAGATGACGCCAAAGGACCGGTCGGCCCTCGGCCTCGCGGTGTTTATGTTATTGTGCCGCCGCCTCTGCCGCCGCCTTCTCCCCCGTGACCCCCTCCGGGGAGTGGGGGCGGGAGCGTGCGGGGGTGGGGCATGCGGCGGCCCGGGGCTGCGCGGGAACAATAGTGCCCCGGGAGGCTGGGGCTCGGCCTGGGGGCTTGAGGCGTGGGACCCCTGCACGCCCTGGCCATTCGCCCCCAGTCTGTCACCACATCGCCGCCTTCCCGTCCTCGCCCGGGTACCGTGTCCACGCCAAGGCGGGGGGGGGGGGGGGGCGGGCGAAGCGGTGGAGTGGGGGCAGGGAGGTGGGTGGCAAGTTCAGAAACACTTCAGCGAAGGTGAGGACTGAGGAACCTGGGTGGTTCGCTGCGCCGCCCTGGCTACCACCCCCCGCGGTGGGCACCCGCCGGGAGCGCTGGGATCACCGGGTCCTTACGCCTGCCCACTATCCATGGGACCGTTTTGTTTCTCTGTGGTTTCTTTGTGCTAACGTCCTGGGTAAGCGCCACGCGGAAAAAGGCAGGGGTGGCCTTCAGGTCTGGGCTGCGAGGGAGAGCCTGCGCCCTTGGCTTGGGCGGGGAATGTTCATCATCAAGCGCGAGCAGCTTCAGTGGTCAGCAGGCATTTCTCTTGAGGGTCACTTGGTGGTGACCTTTTGACTTTTTATCATCCTTTTCACCTACCCACCCACCCATAGCTATGTGGTGTTCTTGTGTTTCCAGTCCTTCGGTGGTAGGTAGGTACAAGTCCATTTTAAAGTATTTTGATTAACATTTTTCATTTTGATATCTGAAAGTTCTTTATCAGATCTTTACTGTGAACTTAATAACATGCTGAGTGCCTAATAACGGATAATGACCAATTGTTACTATTTTTACCTCTGAAATTCAGTGATCTTTTTAGTAGAATTCTGGTCTGTCAGTCCCTTGTGTTTTAACAAGTACCTTCTTGGCCATTAGAACATGTTTCATTCATTCTTTCATTCATTTATTCAGCAATTGTTCAGTACTGTATCCTGACGGAGAATCTTAACCATGGTTGCTGGTGCCAATTCAAATGCCAACAGGAATCCCCAATTTGGGGTGCACTGAGGAAAGAAACAATATATTGAGTCCAAACAGCTCAGTAATGTTACAGTGGGCTGTGAAAACAGCACAGCTGTAGAACATCTCTGGGGTCAGGCCCCTTTCTTGATGGTTTGCTGGGCTCCCCACTCAGGGTGTCAGTTCATCTAGCGAGACACAGTCTTTAGTCTTGACCTTGGGTGGGGGGGAGCGGGGAGCTGGACAGAAGTTTCCTCCTCTGGCCCCTGATTGGTCCATCCTCGTGTAAAACGAGGGCTCAGAACCGTGGCACTTTGATAGGCCCAAAAGGAACTGTCCTGATTGGTCAGAGTAGAGCCACTCTGATTGATGAGAGCTGTGCAGGATGGGAAAAATCTCAGTACTGTTTGTTGGAATAGGATTCCAGGAACTCCTTTATGAGGGCTAGCTTAGATGGCAGAAGTACACTGCAGGCAGGCAGTAGTACAGAGGGAGGGTTCTCTACAAAGTGCAGTTTGTATGAGAGGCACTAGTGCAGAAATGGCTGCTAGGCTTCCGCTTTTTAAAAAATTTGAGCCCAGTTAGCCACCAGGAGACCTTCTTAGTAAGCATCTTTTTTTTTTTTTTTCAGAGTTCACAAGAGTTTGAGAGTAAGAAAAATCCTTTAATGAAAAATGACGCTTTAAAATACAATAGATGTACCTAGTTTAAATTGAATTTATTGGTGTGATATTGGTTAATAAAATTATATAGGTTTCAGGTGTGCAGTTCTATAATACATAATATGTATATTTTCTCCTACCCCAAGTCAAGTCTCCTTCTAAACCCCCTCTACCCTCTTCTACCTCCCCAAACCCCAATTTCTCTTAAGTAATCACCATACTGTTGTCTGTGTCTATGAAGGTTTTTTTCTTAATTCTTCACCTTTAATTCTAGCCCTGCAAATCCCCTCCCCTCTGACAGATGTCAGTCTGTACTCTATCTATGAGTCTATTTCTATTTTGCTCGTTAATTTATTTTGTTCATTAGGTTCCATGAATAAGTGAAGTCATATGGTACTTGTCTTTCTCTGACTGGCTTATCTCACTTAGCATAATGCTTTCCAGGTCCATCCATGCTGTCACAAGAAGTAAGAGTTCCTTTTTTTTTTTTTTTAACGGCTGAGTTATATCCCATTGCAAGATGCATCCCTGTGTTCTTTGCATTATTACTTACAATAGCCATGGTTTGGAAGCAGCCCAAGTGACCATCAGTAGATGAGTGGGTAAAAAGGCTGTGATACATTAACACAGTAGATGTACGTTTAAATAAGGTGTTATACAGGGTAGGGCAAAAGTAGGTTTATAGTTTTGAGTAGGCAGAACATAGCCTGCATTATTATTCATTAATTAAATTGTATTATTTTCCATATGAGCAACTCTAAACCTGCTTTTTGCCCACCGTGTATAAGTAAGTGATTTGTGTTAAACATAGTTTTATTCTGGGTCATTTTACTATCCTTTAGTAATAGATCTGGAACTTCTAGTGTAATGTTATATAGAAAGTTGAGTTAGATTTAGCCTAAATATACAACAGCTTTTATTTATTTCCAAATTTAACTTTTTAGTCTTACAACCTTGTAGCTTTATAGTCTGCTGTAATGTTCGCCTCAGATTTTCCTGGTGTGGGTTAAGCCTAGGATGTCAGATGCTGTAAGTGCACATGTTTAGTTTTGTGCCTGACAAAAAGAAACAGTCAAAATGGGACTTCTTTAAAGACATGCCTGTCTTGCATATGTGCCTCCAGCCCCTAGCCTGAAATATTAGTAAGTGTTCAATAAAAGCCAGATTGGTGAAAAGTTCTTTACAGTTGACAGTATTTAAAATCAAATCTTTAAAAAAAAAGAAAATTTAATGTTCTGTGTAAAGTTTTGGAAATCTTATGCAAATTGTCACTTCCAAATGTCTAAATAATCAGTTCATACATATTATCTGTCATGGAAATAGTGGCTTTTGAATTACTTCAGCATCAATTATGTTTTTACCACTTATTAAACCATTCACTATCCTAAAATAAAACTTTGTCTAAAATGTGTCTACATATTATCTCTCTCTCCTTCCTTCCCTCTTCTCCCCACCCCTTCTCTCTCTCTCTCACACACACACACACACACACACACACGCACAGTGATATAAATGGTTGCATTTATCCTTTTGTGAATATTACATGAAAAGTTTCTGATGATTCCTTTAAGTGGAAAAATTAGAAGAAAACAAGCTGCATAAAAGTTTTATTAGAAATGTTTAATTTTCAATAACATGTTAGAAATGGTTAATTTAAAATTCTTCCGCCCTGGCTGGGGTGGCTCAGTGAATTGAGTGCCGGCCTATAGACCAAAAGGTCACTGGTTTGATTTCCATGTGCCAGTCAGGGCATATGCCTGGGTTGTGGGCCAGGTCCCCAGTTGGGAGTGTGGGAGAGGCAACCACGCATTGATATTTCTCTCCCTCTCTCCCTCTCTTCCCCTCTCTCTAAAAGTAAATTTTAAAAACCTTAAAAAAATGGTTAATTTCATTTTTTTCTTTTTAAAAATATTTTATTTATTTATTTTTAGAGGGGAAGGGAGGGAGAGAAAGAAATATCAATGTGTGGTTGCTTCTCACATGGCCGCCACTGGGGACCTGGCCCACAACCCAGACATGTGCCCAAACTGGGAATTGAACTGGTGACCATTTGGTTTATAGCACATGCTTAATCCCCTGAGCTACGCCAGCCAGGGCTTAAGAAATGGTTAATTTAAAATTCTTTCTTTTACTAATGCTATTGGTGAAACATTTGCACATAAAACTCAAAATAATATCAATTTGTTCAAGTTACATTTAATTGCCAGTCACTATGTAATTAATTTTACCATTCGTTTTGGATATGAATTTGGGGTGAGCTTACCATCTGATGTAGAGAATTAAGAAAATGATACTCTGTTAAAATAATGGATGAGAATCTTGAGATACCAAACTTATTTATTGCTTTAGCTAGTTAGGTATGTCAGATTCCAGTAAGGGTTATTGGTACAAATCCTTTGGCTCACTGTTGGGCTATATGTGAAACCAGAGGTGGGTTTTTGGGGTTTTTTTTTTGGTTTCTATTTTCTGTGGGTTTTTAAAAATTACAGCATTGTAGAGATAAAATTTACATATCATAAAATATACCCTTTTATTTTTTTTTTAAGATTTTATTTATTTATCTTTAGAGGGAAGGGAAGGAGAGAGGGACAGAAACATCAATGTATGGTTGCCTCTCATGCATCCCCTGCTGGTAACTGGCCTGCAACCCAGGCATGTGCCCTGAATGGGAATTGAACCATGATTTGTTTCACAGGCCTGTGCTCAATCCACTGAGCTACACCAGCCAGGGCAAAAATTTACCCTTTTAGAGTGTACATCGCTACTGATTCCAGAACATTTGCATCACTGCAAGAAGAAAGCCTTATAACCCTATAGCATTCACTCCCCATTCCTCTCTAATGTTTAAAGGTAAGATAGCACTAATTCTGTTAGTAAGTATATTCCATAAATATGCTTGGAAAGGGCTCCCTTTAGGTGTCAGGTAGAGTTAGATCTTGGGAGAAAGTCCGCTCTGAAAGGAAATTAGTTTAGGAATAAATTCTACCACAATTAATAAGGTCAGAATCTTAACTATGTATGTGCTCAATGCCTAATATTGTGGAAATGACCTTGTAAAGAGACTAAATGCTCTATGAAACAACTTGAAGTAATTAAGTTACTAGTCAAATTGTTCTAGTTGTAATTCTTGTTGGTCTACTTTGTCATTAAATTGAGTTTTGACATATTTCAGTCATCTAGCTGAGATGCTTTGTTGCACCTGTAGAAGTGTAATGTCTGACATTAAGATGCCAACTCTCTAGAGGTCTCTGGTCAGTCAGGTCAGTGGTATGGATAGTAGCCTTTCTGATTCATGTAGTGTATGGAAGTCTTTATAGCCATGTAGCTTTAGATATGAATCATTTGCCTATTTCAGTGACCTGTGATGCTTATTGTCTTAGTCATTAGCTTCTTACATGAAAATTTAGAACCTTTGTCTTACTCTAATGCAAATTAACTTGAACTTTGATTTCAGACTTGAGTTCTGAGTCAATAGGCTTTACTACATAAACGGTTTCAGGAATATTGAAATAAGAGTTACCGTGTATCATTTAGGGGAGAAAGTGGAATCAGCGAATCATACTCGTCATCTGGACTTTGCCATCAACAACCTCTAGAGCCTTCGACAAGTTGTTTAACCTTTTTGGGTTTAGAACCCTGACACTCTTGGAACTTTTTTTATTTTAATGGGAAGATTGTTCCCTAGATAGGTGGTTCTTCAGAAAACATATTAGGACAAAAAGAGCCTTATTAGGTGATAATCCAAGAA